ATATATTTGATATAAGTCTCTTATAGGCAAACAATGTCCTGCTTTAATTTTTTCAAATAATGATTTTTTTTTACTTTTGAGGAGCATTTGCTCATTTATATTCCATGTTAAACATTTGTAATCCATACTTAGTCCAAAGATTTAGAAAACTCCATACATACCAATAAAGGTGAATATGTGTAGCTCAGGGTTGAACTGTGGAGTCCTTGGGGAGAACCAAGCTCAGAGAACCCCAAGGACTCCACAAAGTCCATACATGTAGCACCTAATTCAGTATCATCTTTTTTCAATTCCTCTTGCGTCTGTTGTGGTTTTTGTGTAGTTCCCTCTGAAAGCTCCATTTCCATTTCCTCCAATTCTTCTTTATGTCTTTCTAAAAAATTGCTCATCGTCTGAACAGAATTCAGTCTAAATCTCTGCTGTTTAAAAGTAAAAATCATACCTTCCAATCTGTCCCATCGAAACGGAATCTTTTTCTGGTTAATTTTTCAGCCAGGAAGGCGTATTCTTTTCTCATACATAAACTTCTAATAGGAATCTCTTTCAAAACAATGGTATTTGTATTATTTCAGTCTTCTATTAAAATGCTGATGCAGGACTTAAATAAATTCCATAGACCTTATCAATGTCCATATCTTCCTCCTCCCAATCCAAAAGAATTGCCAAAACTGTAATAATCTGTTCTCTAATATTTTCATTTGGAACCTCTGGAACAGCTCTAAATCTCAAACAGAAGTCTTTCTCTCTCAATTCCATTAAAGTCAGATTATCCAGTTCTCTTTCCAACTCTCTACCTTGAACCTATGTCTTACTCTCTAAATTTTCCTCTTTATCATTAATTTGTTTTACCTCCTCAGATATTTGCTTTATAGAACTTTCCATGTTTTTAACATCTTCTTTCATCTCCTCTCTCAACATTATGACTTTTTCATCCATCCTTTTTTCAAAAGCATCAAATTTATTTCCCATCTGTTCAAATAATTTCTGAACTATATCTTGTGTGTAACTATTTTTTCTGCAGGTTGCTGTAGTGAACCCTCTCTGCCCTCTCTTGCCAGTTTTCTAGCAGCCATTTTTTGACATCAGTGTAAAGATAAAGTTTGTCTCCAGCAAGCAAAAGAAAAAGACAAGCCTCTCCTTCCCCCCTCCCCCCCTTACTATCTTTTTGTGGCTTTGACACGTTTGTTTTGGTAGCTTTCTATAGCTTCAGCCACAAGCTGCATCACATCTCCATGGCAACTAAACATCACAGTCTGTTTCTTTACCTTATCTTGTTATGTAAAGTCCATCAATTAAATGTACTCTTTAAGAATAAACATCAAGCATTCCCACACAGAATGGTATCTTTAACTGGCTTAGTGCAAATTTATAACAAAGCACTTTCATCAAAAGTAAAAAGGATTTAAAAAAAGAACAAAAAGATTGTCCCCTTATCCATTTTAAAACTTTCTTAAATCTTCTCTTTATTAAAATTTTTGCATAGGATTCTTGGATGTTTAAACCAAAGTATCTCTTTCTTGTTTTCTTGTTTTTGTTTTTGTTTTGTAATCCTGAAAGGAGAATTAAGTCACTGCAAGGGGCCTTATCTTTGCCGCAAAGAAATCTCTCCTTATCTGTAGATTAATTACTTCCCAAAGCAATTAAGAAATGAGGAAGGCTTAATGTCTGTATCAGCTCCATCACAGTTAGGAGCATAGATAGAATCCCAGGACTCCTGGAAGCTTGACTCCTGAGCTGACTGCAAAAACTTTTCTGTTTCTGCAGTTTACTCATGAGGAACCACCGTCTGGAGTGCACGTGATTTATCTCACAATCTCCCTTTGATCCAGCCAGATTGATCCCACAATCTCCCTTTGCACCAGCCAGAATCTGTCTTCCAGCCACTGTTCTCAGCTGCGCTGTCTCTCTGTGCCTTTGGAGAGCGTCAGCTTGCCATAATTCCCCACTGGAAGCTCTTGATGGCTATACAGTAACTCCAGAACTGGAGGCACTATTTCTCACAGTACAGAAGATGAGCAGGAAGAAAGTATGAGGGTTAGATCTGGCAAGGTCAGAAGCAAATGGTTTAAGATAGAACTAGTCCATTATAGTAACAATCCACAGATGTCAGCTGCCCTCCTATCCGAAAACAAGCAGATCTTTTGACCATGCAGTACTGAAGTATAGAAGCATCCTTTCAAATAAAGATGTCAGTATTCAGAACAGCTTTTGGATGGATGGGTAAATTATACATTTGTTGAATGCTACCAGTGCAGATTCCCATGTGCTAGTAAAGACTCAATTTAATGGGCTAATTGGGGAAAGGGGGGAAAACCATTAAAACCAAATGTCTGTTAAATGAGGAATAGGATTTTTCAAGCCCCAAAACACACTTGTATAAAAGAGAAAAGAAAAGAAACATGGGGAAGAAATTTGACTGTAGTTAAGGAGCAAGACATGGTGCAAGTGATTTTGCCAACCACAAACATGGTAGGTTGATATGCCAAGGCCACAACTGAGAGGTCATGTAGAGGCTCAGAGTCAGAGCCTGGGAACACCAGGGCCAGAATAAACCCTCAGCATTATGGACTAGAGCTAGAAGAACTTCCAGAGGCAAGCAGCATTATAGGCAACTGCACTTTCTTTATAGATCAAACAAATTTTGTCCATTAAATGCAAAGTCTGCTAAACATACGATCCATGTTGTGGGCAATTTCCAGCTGGTCTTATTAAATGCAATATAATCTGCTTCTAATTGTAAAAATGATTCTGTCTGAAAACGGTGTTTAAAAAAATGTATGCCTCCATAAACAACACTTAGTCAATTAAGAATGAGGAGATAAACAAGAGCTTTAAGTGGAAATAAAATGGCTGTGGGATCTGCATATTTTAAAGGAGTAGGAATGTAACACTGCACTTACTAACCTGAAAAGTCTGTCCAATGAACAGTTAACAAGTTCATTCTATGTTTTAGGCCGATGCATCAATCGTAGGCTGCTTTGCAATGGAGACGATGACTGTGGAGATCAGTCAGATGAAGCTGATTGTAGGAAGTTATATCAGAAATGCAATCAGGTTTTGGAACAATTTTGGGGAATACAGATGCTATCAAGCGGGTAAGTGCAGAATTAATCTTAGTAACTCTGATTACTAGGATTGGATTAGAAGATTAAAGCCATGAAATGTTGAAGACATATGAGTCCATATCCAATGCATACGAGCTTTGCATGGGTTGCATAAAACTCTTCCATTATCACAATCTGTTTTTTTTTAATGCATTAAAATATATGGCATTGCTCATTTTATATGCATTTGTATTGATACACACACACACACACACACACACACAGAGTTAGTATAGTACAATTTTAAACCCCAAACTGCATCACAAAATTCAGAGAAGTCATAAATCAGTGTGATAACCGTTTTTCAGGAGACCCCATTCATGTTGGTTCACTTTCGAAAGTAGATGAAACAAAATTCTGAGGCCTCCCGTCATGTATATATATATTTTTTTTCTAACAGAAGGAAGCATTTGTTTGAACAGTAAGAGAGAAAGAAGCAAAAGCAACTCTTGTCTTAAAAGAGTTATCTCTCTTTCCTGCTTCTTTTTTATTGGCATTAACATCCTGAAATCTATCCAAGCAGGCCAGGAAATCATGTTACCTCACACAACAATTTCTTCATCTCTATTCTATAATGTCTGTAGTGCAGGTATATACAGAAATCCATCCATCTTCCAGTATATAATATGAGGAAGTCTATCCATATTTATATCCCCTGGTAGAGAGGCCGTTACCTAGATCCTTTTGGATTCCTCTAGGCTGTTAGAAGCTTGCCAGATATTAGCCACAAAGATAGAAACTTTATTTGCTTCCCAAAAGAAATAATGAATTACAGAAAATGCGTTGATGATTTTTGCATTGCAATTTAAAGAGAATGTTGAAATTAAACCCTCCTCATAGTTAAGTGGCTGACCATTTTACTGAGCAGCAAAAATGGTCTCTCCATAAGCAGAACTGATCTTCACCCCATCCCAATTTTTCTTGCATCAGAATGGATAGATTCAATATCAGAACTTACCATTCAGAATTTTCAGTCTGCTCCACTCATAGTATGTAATACAATTTATCTGAGATGCATTTGAGAATCATCATATAATTTCAAATAAATAACCATTGTCTGATGGATATCTATATAAATGTTTCCACAGATGCACACGACTTATTGTAAACAATTGTTTTGCATTCCCAGTACAAGTTAAGGGCAAATGTTAGCTTACTTTGAAACTGTGGTTGCACAGGTATGCATTGCATCCCTAATGATAATTAGGGATAGGGAGTGAGAATTATTGTTCATGTGTCTCTGTTAATTGGTAAGGTAATTTTTGAGGACCTTCTCTGTGCTTTTTGCTATACTTTAATGGACACTGAAGAGATTTCTCTCATAATTGTTAACACTGCAGTGAGAAAGTTGATCCAAATAAGGTAGCTATTTACTGATCATATAAAGAACAATAGTGGTATTAGGAAAATAATGTAGTACTTCTATATGTTTGCTTGCATTAGATTTTAATGACTATTCTCAAGCTTCTTAAGTTTAAAGATTTTACTGAAATCATCTGAGGCATGATGAAAAGAATAGAGTAAGAGGAGATTCCTGTGGCTGTTTCCCCCTCTGTCCATAAAATGCTTTAGTTTCAAGGAGCCCAAACAAAGATGCAGAGTCAGACTTCAGAAGATTATTCTTTCCAGAGTTCAGCCAAATCTCAGGGTACTATTTCTGATGGAACCATAAACAGGCTGAACTGCAATGGTCCAAGGTCATGCTGTAGCTCAGTGGAAGAACACCTGGTTTTCTATAATTAATGTTATTAAAATGAATATTTATTGATAGGTTATTTAAGAAATTTATTTGGGATAGTGGACCACCAAGGTTTTCCTTAGCTAAATTGAAGCTTCCGTTTGAGGAAGGTGGCTTTGCTTTATCAAATTTGCAAAAATATCATTGGGTTAATATTTTATCAGCCACCAGCATGTCGAATGAAAATATAGTTGAATATTACCTCTATGGGCTATGTTGGAAAGTTATTATCTTTTGCAAGCATGGCTACTACTTGGAACAACATACTGTATAATAGAAAAGGTGCACATGGTGAGAAATCCTTGGGCCATGTTGGGAAGTAGATTGGTTTTTGATAACAAGACTCAAGAATATTTAACTCTTTGGACAAATTCTACTTGGTGGTAAAACATTTGATTAGAAAGTTTGGGTGGAAGCCAGGATCATGACTTTAAATCAGTTGTTATGTCTGTTTAATTGAACTTGATCTTCCCAGTTTGCAACAGTGCTGATAACTTAAACTTAAGCATGTTCTAATAGATCAATATGGGCCAGGTACTTTGACTGCCTCAAAGGCATCTGAGATGCTGTCTTACCTGAAGGGATCCAAGATAGAATTAAAACCTATAACATATCACTATCAAAAGTTCAAGAATATTTTTAAAGTGGACATTTCTGGAATATTTCAAACATGGATTAAAAATCTGGAATCTCCGATGATGCCCCATTAATTGATTAATATCCTTAAAAATGTTAAAATAGTATCTACAGATCTGAGATTAAAGCTTATTAAATCATTGTATATAGGGTACATTTGACTCCCCAAAGAATGTATTTAAAAGGATGGACATCAGATTTTCTATACTGGAGGTGTAAAAACATTGAGGGTTCACTGACCCCATATGATATGCTTATGTGATCATCTGGTATCTTTTTGGAATAGTGTGTAGAAGCAGATTAATGGGAATATCTTTAAACGTTAAAGATGTTAATGTAATATTGAACTATGTACCAAAGTTTTGGAATCTGTTTTTCAGTATTTTTGGTATATTGAGCTGGGGATTGGCTAATACAATCTTATTGAGAAATTGGAAATATGATATTATTCCACATGTCAAGGAATGGTTGTTGGAAATGTGGGATCTATCTGTTTTGGAAAAGCCAATATTTTCTACTAATCAAAGGATGCAGCAATATGTGTTACTATGGCAGAGACTTTGTGATATTTTGCAATAACATTTTGTACTGAATATATTATAATAGTGTATTCATTAGTAAACCAGTGACTATTGATAAATGTAATATACAGTACAAGGTAGATCCCCCCCCTTTTTTTTTTCCTTTCTTAGTTTGGGTTTTTTCCCTAATGTTTTTCCTTTCCTTTTCTTTTGTTTTGGTTTCTATTAATTGTTCTTTTTTCTTTATGTTGATTGTTTTGTTAATTGTGCATGTTAAGAACATAAAAAAAAAAGCAAAACACCTGGTTTGCATGGGGAAAGCCCCAGGTTCAATCCCCAACCTCTCCAAGCTGGACTGAGAAGACTTTAATCTGAAACCTTAAACATCTGGCACCCATCGCTGTCAATAACCTGAACTAGAAGAACGAAAGGATCGTCTTAAGATCAGGCAGCCTTCTGTGTTCCTGTGTTTATAAATTACTACAAGTTCAAAATGACAAGTTTGGACAAGTTGTCTCATTCAATGTACTAATTTATGTGATATGGTAAAAAATTGGATTATCTTCCCCCCACCATCCAAATATACAATATTTCAGCTTTGTTACCTAATGTACCAAAGAATGACTTACTAATTCAATATTTAGAGTCTAAAGCTGGGTTATAGGTACTAACTGCATAACTAAAACATATAGCTTTGAAAATGTAGTTTCTGTAGAAGTATAACTAATATGCAAATCTATTGTCTCTACCTATGTCCTTTCTTTCCAGCTTAAATGCTTTCACAAATAATCTGGAAGGAGTAATTCTTGACTATAAATATTATGCAGGAGCATGTCGCCCACAATATATTGGTAATGTTGGTTTTAGAAAACCGTACAATGTAGAAAGTTATTTGGCTGAGGTATGTATCTAAGAGATGTTTTTGCAATTAAACTTTGAGTCATTCATTTATTTAGCTTATTTTAATACTGTCTCCTTGTATTTAGTTTCACTTTAACACAATAAATGCTGTATTAAAGTGAAACTAAATTGAAGTATTAAAGTGCAACAGTAATCCATTCAACCCCCATACATTTGGTTTTACATTTAGCTGTTTTAGCTGGATTTCAGATTATCTGGGCATTCTCAAATATTATCTGTCAATTCCCCATGCTGGCTGGGGAATTCTAGGAGTTGAAGCCCACACATCTTAAAGTTGTTAAGGTGGAGAAACACTGCTGTAGAGAATTAGAATCAGGTGAAGGATTTTAACTAGAAGAAAGACAGGGCAACAAGCTTTGTTGATTCTCCTTGCAATTCTTAACCATCTAGAACAGATTTTCAGAAGGCTCATGATGTTTCAGGTGGAAGGAGGAATCAGAAAACATCTGCTGAGTGCAAATATAGAGCCAACCTAGATTTTGAATGGGACTACTCTTTAAAATATTTTTTTTCAAATTTTAACAGATTCTTTAACAACTTCTATGAACAATTTTGGATGTTGTATGTGTTTTACATATATTTATAGTTTTAATGTTTTTTTTAAGTCACCCAGAGTCCCCTATTGTGGGGGAGATGGGCGGGGGGAGAAATCCACTAAATAAATAAACAAACAAGCAAGTGATATTCCTACAATATTTGTATTACTTATTGCACTGAACCACATACAACCTGAATATGCTTAAGGATAATTATTTATGTAAAATTAAAATGACTAAAAGCACCATGTGGTACACCCATGGGTGCAAAACCTATATGCACAAATTACATTTACCTTAAGCAACAAATTAATAATATTGAGTAAGTTGGCGTGCAACAGTAATCCATCAAAATTCAATCAGAACTAGAATTTCAGCAGATTTTGCCTATATCTAAATATATTGTAAAAAAAAAAAAGTTGCTGTATTTAATTGTTTATCTATCTTCATAGCTGAATGTTTTGATTCTAATTATAGCATGTAACCTATTGTGGACTACTTTCGTTCTCAAATTTTCCTTTGTTCCTTCCTACATTTTAAACATGACACTTGAGATGTTATTTTCTCCTTGCTTTGTGTTTAGACCAAAGGCGAATATGAATTTTCAATGACTGCATATGAATCATTTTCAAGTTTTGAACACAGTGTCTCCAGGGCAAAATCAAAAGAAGAAAGTTTTGGCATTGGACTAACTATACCAGGTGTATTTAAATTCGGTTACAACATGAATGACAAGCGATACCAAAAATTTGTTAGGAGGACGAAAAGATTTTCTTCAATGGTAAACTTGTGCTTCCTCTGAGGCTTACTCTAGGGAGATGGGTTCAACACATACTCTAAAAGCCAATCACATTAGAATTAAAGTATGAGTGGTAGAAAACCATGTAACTTTTTTGAAATGATGAAAAACAAGATTTCTTTTCCCTCCATGGTTCATATATTTCACTTAGGGCAAGCAATGCCAGACCATCTCCATCTGTAGCTGTAGCTATATCATCTATCTGTTTCTACATTTATGAAAACCTTTAGATTAGATCCTGTAAATGGAGATACTTAGGTAAGTTATTTTGTACTCTAGGAAGAAAGGCAAGATATAATCTAATAAATAAACCACAAATTTATTCATAATCATTTAAAGTTTATTAAATGTAGCATTTACTGTACATGGACATATTGGTATGGATAACATTTTTACAAAAGGAGCCACAGGGTTCCCGCCCCCCCC